CTGCATTGCCTCTGCCAGCGAGTTGCACAATTGCTCGTAGGATTCCGAAAAATAACGCTCGCGATCTCCTGCCGCATCGTGCGTGTGGTGCCCTTTTCGTTCATCATGTGGGTAATGAGACTTCGCTTCCTTTGTGTTTTGCTACACGGGATGCTCTTCAAGCCTCGAAAATTATGAAGTATGTCTGCTATATCGGCTATTTCTGTTTGAGTTTACGTAGCTGCTTGCGGGCATAGTGGTCGTCGATAGGCGTCTGATGTCGTGCTGATCCTTGGTCGGGTTGTTGCTTTACTTGTAGTCTGTTTGAGATTACTGCATTTCTGTCGTTCACGGAAAAATGCCCTGGGGTACTACTGGCGGCAGCGGCGTCCATGATGACTTGTTGGATGTGTTCGCTCAACGCTTCCAGGTCGGAGGGCAATTTGCGCCGGTGTGAGTTCGGCCGTTGGTAGTCCTGGAAAATCTGCGTGTTGGCGATAATTCCTGTCGGGGATTGAGGTGGGAAGGTGTGGTGCTGCTGACGTCGCTCGTCGTCACGTCCCGGTCGTCTGCTCATCATTCTTGTCGGTACACGCATGTCGATGCTATTGCAGAGGCCCTGGGACACACAAATAAATACGCACAAGTAACAGGATGCCACATATTTTCCTATAATTCCTGGGCTTTTGTCTTCCCCCCCCTTCCCATATTTCCCATCTATCATCTTTTTCTGGGGATCGACGATTAACTGTGTCTGTGTGTTTTTTCCCCTCTTGAGTTATGTCCGACGCCCATCCAAGAGGCCTCAAAACGGCCCCAAGACGGTTTCGAGTGCCCACGGATCCCTTCAAGGCCGCCCCAGAGACAAACATAGCTCCAAAACAGAACGGGCAATGTATTAGCTGTGCCTTCTCACCTTTTCGCTTCCGATGCGCCTCGGAGGCCTCAAGACGGCCCCAAGATGGTCTAAGAGAGCCCAAGATGGCTCCAAGACGGCCCCAAGAGCGCCCAAGCGCGCGGCCCGGAAGACGCCGTTTTTGGGTCTCCGAGGGGGGGTGGCCTGAATGTACGACCCCCCCTCTTTTTTGAACTGTGAGCCCAACGTTGCCTCAAGAGGCCTCCCAGACCCTCTTGAAGAGCTCTCAGAGGGCCCCCCGACCTTCCAAAAGAGCCTCAAGAGGGCCCCAAGAGTGCCCCAAGTGACTCCGCGATGACCCCAAGGGGGACCCAAGATGGCTCCAAGAGACCTCCAAGAAAATACTTCCAAGGCG